TTAGTATCTGTGTATAAAATATCTGTCTACTTGCGTGTGTGTACTCATATACTTACCGATTTTTTATTACTTCGGACTTAGTAACTGATTAAATGAATTAGTTTAATTAGTTTTTTGCTTACTTTTGCTCCTGTAATCGTGTCTATCATTTTATTTCTTTAGGATTTTTCGACACAGGGTTTCTTTGTGTAGCGCTGGCTGCAGGCTGGCCTGTAATTTATAGAGATCTGCCTGCCTCTGCCTCCTGAGAGCTGAGATTAAAGATATCAACTACCACCGCCTGGCTTTTTTTTTTTTTTTAAGGAACAAACAACAACAAACCATCAAATCATGTCCAACTCCATCATTAAAAAAATATATACCTTTAAAGTGAGAATAACAGTACTTACCACAAAGGATTGTGGTGAGGAATAACGGAGTTAAATAACATAAAACATTAGTCCAGTGACTGTATATACAGTAAAAGCTCAATAAATGTTAATTATTAATATTTAAATAATTGTCCTTTAGGTGAATTCTTAAACGATTTAAAAGAAGTTATAGGCTTAAATCTGTATTTTGCCTGAACAAAGAAAACAAGGCTTCAGGGTAAAAACCATTTGTACAGAAATATCAGGGAAGTTGTTGAAAGGCCTGACGGAGGTAGAAGTACAAGATTAAGGAATGATTTTGATGGGGAGTACTAGAGAGAAGAAAGTAGAGCAAGAAGGGAGAAATCAACAAGTCATCAGTAACTAATAGATAATAGGAAACAGGGTAGTATATTAGTGTGTGAACTTACAGAATTGTTGCCAGTTACTACTGTAAGATGCAGTAGAGAAAAAGTTGTTGTCAGTGTATGTGGACAGTACCAAATTCTACCAATATTACCTACGTGTCTCAGGGCTGGTGCTGGGAACACAGGAAAAGAATGAGATGTGTGTGCCTCATTCATTCAGCAAAATGTGTAGGAGTGGAAGACAAGCATTTATATAGCAACTTTTAAAATAATCAGAACTAAGATGGACTTAAACATTTAAATTATTTGTGGCTCAAAATATAAGCAGTTTAACTGAATCCCTTTCTTTTCTAGACAATGGCCAAGAACAAATTTAAAGGACAGAAGTCCAGGAATGTATTTCACATAGCCAGCCAAAAAACCTTCAAGGCTAAAAACAAAGCAAAACCAGTTACTACTAATCTTAAGAAGGTGAGTCTCTAAGTATTCTGTCCTAAGTAACAAAGTCCGTTGTTCATTAGTTTCCAAGTACATTTGCTAGTAAACAGTAACTTCAGCCCTTCACAAAAGGCACTCATCTTGAAGGAGCTGCCCTCAAGGTACTGGAATGATGACTTAGCAATTAAGAACATTTACTACTTTTGCAAAGGACCAAGGTTGAGTTCCAAGCACCCCATGGGGGCTCACAACTAACTCTAGGGTGTCCATCCCATATCCTTTTCTGGTCTCTGTGGCTCCCTGCATGCACATAAATTTATGTAGGTGCACACACATACATATAAACCAAAATAGCTCTCCAAGATGTAATTGTTGTCATCTCTCTCACAAGAACTGGGATATACTTTCTAAAGATTTGTGATTTCATAAATATAAAGAAATTACAGTGGGGTAAGACAGGTGTTTGGAGTGAGTTTTCCATGGGGTTTTCTCTGTAGTTGCAGAGACCTGAATGAAAAAGAGCTGATAATTAACTATAGAGTGGGGATTATTTTCTTGAGCTGTAAGATACTAGAACTTTTACACAAGCTGATAGGATCAGAGAAAGGGCATTTCTAAGTAGGAAGCCTATTGTAGTTAGTATCAAATAATTTCTTCAGCAAGTGGCTTTATTTAATTTATGTAAATGATAGATTAAAATTTATGACAGTGAATTTAATCAAGCCAGTCAGCCACTTAGGACTTTAGTCAGCTTAACATCTGGACTCACAATGGGTCAACTTACCCAGGTTACTGAGCAAATTTTGTCAAGGAAAGATAAAGAAAAGCATCTAAAGAAGTGACTGAGTGATAGTGGAATCTATGTTACTGTAGAGATAAGGTGGACTATGAGGATTGCAAAAGGTTTTTGAGTGAACGTTACGTGACTTGAACAAGTGGACTGCAAGAAGGTGTCTTATGGGAGTAGAGGGTAGAGGTCCATTGCCTAGAATCCTGCAGATCAGGACCTTGGGATAAAGAGGCCATTTGACTAGATTTGTTGAACTCAGTGTAAGTCCATACATAGAGAGGTCAAAGTTTTGGAACTCTTGACAAATCAGGTAATTGTGGTGTTTCTGGGTGATAATAGGGAGAACTAGTGTTCTCATGAAGAATGTGGTACAAAGGAGCCAAGGGCTTTTGAGGAGGCACTGGTAGCAGCATTGAATACACCATTTCTTCTCTTGGCTTAGACTCAAGAGGGCTATACTGCACATTCCTTAGGAGGTGACCAGAAAAGGGCTCAAGAGTTTACTGTTTGAAAGGAATAAAAGCATTTGATCCAGGTTTCTTATTTTGTAAATGAGATTAAACACCATAGTCAGGATTGGTCGCATACGTTTTTTTTTTAATGTGTTTGTGTATCATATGTCACTTCTATGTAGGCCTGCAGAGTCAAGAGGGTGTCAGATCTCCTAGGAATGGAGTTAGAGGTAGTTGTAAATCACAGGTGGTTGCTGAACACTGAAGTTGGGTCCCCTGAGCCACTTGTCCAGTCCCAGATCACATATTTTGATCTGTTTATTTCAAAATCTTAAGTATGAGGCAAATTCATATAATAGTTACTTTTAAAAATCCAAACTTTCTGACTAAATTTCCTAATAAGACAGCAGTATTTTTTGTGTGAATTATCAGTTTGGTAAGGTCAAGAATTTATAGACTTTTTCTTTAAAAAAAAAAAAAACTTTTAAAAAATTATGTGTACCACATGCATGACATGTGTAAGAGCAGGTGTCTGAGATCAAAGAGCATGTGTTCAGGATATAATTTAGGCTGCCAGGATTGTACAGCAAATGCCTTTACCTGCTAAGACATCTAGACAGACCAGTACTTTAATAGCTAACAGATAATATAATTCTTTTTTGCTTGTAACAGATAAACATTATGAATGATGAAAAAGTCAACAGAATGAACACAGCTTTTGTAAATATACAGAAAGAACTTGCAAATTTTTCAAAAAGCCTTTCTCTTAAATCTATGCAGAAAGAGCTGGTAAGTAGAAAAATTAGTTGCTTTGATTGATATATTGAAGGCATATTTGGCATTTTGGTGTATATAGATAGCACTTTAAGTCATATTCAGGCTCAAACACTAAATCTGAATATAGAATTTATTATATTTCCAAAGGTATTGTATTGTTACCTAGAATTAAACCAGGTAACAATTTGTTTTCAGGGTGGCTTAGTTTGCTGTTACTTAAGCTTTTGGTTTTGTTGTTTTTGTAAATGTTTTCCCCCTTTGATTCCTCAGCAGCATCACGAAAATGAACCAGCTAATGTTGATGAAGCTACAAGACTAATGGCTCAATTGTAATACAGTGACAGTATATCATATTCCCCCAAAGATCAATAAATTGAATGTTTTATACAACTTTATTTTTTGATCTTGTTAATGTACAGGCATTGGCACATTTTAAAAACAAACTACATAAACAGATCTTTCCTATACTCTAGGAAAGTAGAATGTCAGAAGTCAACAAACTGATAGAATTAAAGTGCTAAAACAGAAGGCACTTCACAAAATCTGTTCACTCAACAGTGATGTCCTTCACTTTATATGTGGCAGTGAATGTCTGTTTGAAGGACACACAGAAATAACTTTGTGGCAGTAAAAAGGTAAAGACAAATAAGTGATCTTTTGGGCAATGTTTCATGATGACCTGAAGTCTGCTTTAACTTTCCTCTCAGGAGAGGAAGCTACAGCAGAATTCAGCATTGAAAGAAACTGAATAAAATCACTGGAGGGGCATGCTGGTAGACAGTTCATCATTTCCCCTGAAGCAGTCAGAGCCCTCTCAAGTTTTGTGAAGTAAAAAATAAAATGTTAGGAAAGAACATTTCAGAATCAGTGAACTAAAATGGTGTTACATTCATAATTTTAAATACTCAGGTTATTAAGAATTCTAAAATGTTATAGTTAGAGGTAGATAACAGTCCCAAGTTTCCATGGAATCTAATAATTTAGTATCTGAACATCAAACAAATCACAGACTCCTTCATTATCATCTAAATTAAAGTTGTAGTCATCAGCTGGGGTAGGAGAAAGCCGTAAGAGAGGAAACACTGCAAAGGAAAAACAAATTCACTGTTACAGTTGTTCTACATGAGTTATGAAGATTACCATAAAATTTCTCACAATTCTGAATCCAAAACATACACAAATAATTCCCAGAGGAATTATTAATTAGCATACTACAAATAATAGGTTTTTAATAATTAATTCATACATTTCATATGACACCCTAGCTTATGTTAGTAAAAAGTTCAGTGATTCTGGTGGACAGCTTGAAATTGCCTGTGATGGGAGCACATACAAAACTTGACTGTGACACACTATTCAATTACTTCTGGGCTAGTATGTGAATAGTTTTCAATAAAAGTATTCCTTCTGGGTTCTTTCCTTTAAAATGCAAGTAAATATAAATTCTAAAAAATGCCTACTGTAATCTCCAGTCACATGGCATTTACCCTCTAGAATAGTGATGTATATCCAGCAGTAAAATCATCAACCACTTACCATCAGAAGACATCAGTTCATCAATAATGTCTCCACTAATAGATCCTGTTGAAAACATAAATGTGATAGAGGCAATTACATTTCAACAGTGGTAGTCATATCACTAGATCATCATGGAAAGACAATTTCTTGAGTACCTACTTTCTTGGCATTCCCTTTAAACTTGTAAACTGAAGATACAGAGGAAAAGACTCCCCATTCTTCTCAAACAATCTAACACTGAGTCTGCTCACTTACACTTCATTGTCTCCATATCTTCTACATCGAAATTTACTTGCTTTGCTTCAAACAACATTTCTCCTATCTGCTCATTACTTCTCTTTCCTATCCCCCTGGTGGCACCCTATTCTAGTCTTACATTGTCTCAGCTGTGGTGACTGCAAACATCTCTTCAGACTTGCCACCCTCTGCTTCCCAAAAGAACAGTTTCCAAGTCACCCTACCCTCATGCTCACCACTGCACAACTAACTTTTACTTTCCTCCATACAAATCTGGTTTATTAGCTAGCATTTTCATTTGATATTCCAAACCTCTAATGTGGCCTCAAGTAATTTCTCTCACTATAGCAAATGGTACACAGAAAGTACTCAATTCTACCAATTGGGTTTTAGCTAAAGCTTATAGTTTATTTCATGTATCCCAATTAAACTGAAATTATTAGTACTATCTTAAGGACTATTCTTTGTCTTGTGCATCTCTTCAGCTATATTATATTATTTATGTATTTGGTTTTTTGAGACAGGGTTTCTCTATATTGCTTTAGAGCCTATCTGTCCTGGCACTCGCTCTGTAGACCAGGCTGGCTTCCAACTCACAGAAATCCACCTGCCTCTGCCTCCTGAGTGCTGGGATTAAAGGTGTAAATCACTAATGCCCAGCTAGTGAGATGTATATATGCAACACAAAGTTAAAAACCAACCCATGTCCCAATTAAAATCTAGCTTCACTGTTAATTAGTAATTAGAAATTTCAAAGTAGAAATACATATATCCCATTAGCAACCAATACAAATTATAATACAGCTTTTACTATCCACAGTGACTTCTGTATTTGCTCAGAAACAAAAGTTCTATGTAGTCTAAACATTTTAACTGATTTTATGTGCATATATAAATACATCTATTTGAATGTGTATTTCATAAGACACCCTGGCCAATATTAGTAATAGTTCAGTGATTCAGGTTGGTAGCTTGAAATTGCCTGTGGTGGGAGTACACATAAAACTGCTGACTGTGATATAACTGGTAAGTATTCCTATGGGTTCTTTCTTTCAAAGTGCATATACACATGCATACACATATTATGTCTACCAATATAGAAAGACAGGATCTACTTTACAATTTTCCGCATAGTACCTATTCTAGTGATAGGCATATAGAATATAGAGGATACTAAATTAAAACATCAAATAACCTTATTTTGTCTCCGATCTGTTTCATGTAGTATTCATATTTTCACCTGAAATTTTTAGATCAAAGGCTTTCTACCAACCTGAAGATATTTCTGTAGCTGGTGTCTGCTGGAAATTCTGGCTTCTTTCAGAAACTTGCTGCTCAGGCAGGTTCTGAGCAGCCATGGTAGATTTCTGTGGAGTCACTGATGTTAAGGACTGAGAGGAAGGCTGTGTGAGGTCATCAGGTGGGGGAACAGGAAAAACCACCGGCTTAGATGAACTGGACTCTTTATTTATAAGCAGCACATGGATAGGTCCTGAGTGACTCTTTAAATTTATGTGGTATTTCTTTTGTCCATTCTGACCCTTTGAAGTTATTGGGTATAAACAAATGAGTATTACCACTTCTAGCTAACTTGAAACATGAAAACAAAGACAGACAAAGTCATTAGGATCTAACAACTAAACTCACATGACAAAGCCACTGAGTTGCAACATAGGAGGAAAGACCAAGTAGAATGAAATACTGAAGTCTGTAAGCCACTTGCCCCTAAAAGGTAAACTTTGCTAAAATGGCTTTCATTAAAAAGGTATTTGCAGATTCTAAACAATCATTCTGTCCTGTCCTTTCCACTTCTTTCCCATCTCTCACTCTCATCTTTACTTGATAGACTTTCACTATGTAGTCCAGATTGGTTTCAAAACTCAGCCTCTCACATGCTGGGATGATTACTGCATACACACGCCACCATCCATTTCATTGTCTATAATGATACCTGTTCATGGTCAGTCATGTTCTACAAAGTCTCCACACGAATGAACTTCCAATCTTTGGAGTAAGCTACCAAATCTCAACATCTTGTTTGAGTTTACAAATTTCACAAACCAAAACTTTTCCATCTATTAATCAAAAGACATGACTGATATCCTACATAGATATAAAATTCTTCCTTTTCCAAAAGGTAATTTGTCTTTTGAAGCTCTAAAATATAATATAAATTCCTAAATTCTTGGAATATAGGGGAGAAGGGGAGTACAGATTCATTCAGATACTTTTACCAAAGTATTGAAGAAACCCAAATTCAGGTATCAGTGCTTTCAGATATATATCTTAATATCAATAACTCAAGTGTTCACACTATTTGTTCTTGTTTAGTTCAAGAAAATGCATTTGTCTCTCTTGAGACAGTAGATCTATTTCTTTACTTACGAAGGCTATGCTACATACCATTTCTGGAATAGGTACTTCGAGCTGTGTACCAGAAGGTGCCTGAATGGCCAACAGTGTATCACCTGGCAAAATAAAATATATATTTTTTCAACAGTCTTTACATGGAAATTCAGTTTATATTAAAAACGAATTTGGCAAATTGATTACTCTATGTGGGCAATACACACTACCCTTTTAGTCAACATGCATAATATAAATGCACAGAATTTTGTTATAACTTTGGAAATAATCTCATCCACATTGTCATTTCAAGCATTAAATATGGGAAGCAGAGAATGGAACAGGATTAGGAATAAGATTCCTGATTATAAAACAAATTCATCTAACTTTCCTCACGAGTTCCCTGGGTTCCACCTGTGACTAGTACCTGTTACACATGGTTTCATGAAACAATGCTTATGTTTCAAGTTCCTATGCTCCTGTGACCTTGAAAAGGCTGCTAAATCCTGCTGATTTAAGTTCCTCTTCCCTTGGCTCCTGTGCCCTCTCACATATAAAGTAAAAGCTGTGAAAAAGGTTAGTCCCATGAAAACAGAAATGTAAACAGCCTATCAATGCAACACCACAGAGAAAGACAAAAATATTCACAACTCCTGAAAATACTGAGAGGCTGAGTGTACGGGCAATTGTGAGAAACTACAGTCAACAGGTTGTTCAAAGGAAGAGTGTGGTGGCTCAGGGCTTAATTCTAGCACTTGGAAGGCAGTGGCAGGTGGATCTGTAAGTTACCGGCCAGCCTGGTCTACAGAGTGAGTTCCAGGACAGCGAGGGCTACATAGAGAAACTGTGTCTTAAAAAACCAAACAAACAGACAAATGGAAGAATGTAAGAAAAGGCTGACAGTACTCACCATGAAAGCAATTGCAGATGTCTTCATGAGTTACATAGGAAAACGTACTGTCTTATGAGTTAAGGAACAACATTTATATCAAGGACTACATACTTAATAACCTGAAGTCCAAATTGAAATTGAAGGTGCTGCAACATGGCTTTTAGAAAGACAAAGACAATTAAAAGATCTGTAGGCAGAGTTTCAACGTTTGCTCTAATAAGTAGCCCTTCTGGCTTGTGACATCTGAGAACTTTTACACTAGGGGTGAGTACACATAGAGAATAGATGGGAAAGAGCATCATCACCGAGTGGGGAGTGGCTATACAGGCTGCATTTTCTTAGGTAACTGCTAATCTTTTTATAAGTTGCATAGCCATAGAAAGGGAGGGGGGGCTCTGGAAAATAAATATATTACACTCAGCTCCTAGAGACAAAAGTGTCACAGGCCACATGGGAAATAGAACAGTGTGTTTAGAAGGCAGGAGAAAGCATTAGTCCAGAATCTTTGTTTGGGTCTTTGCTTTGAAAAGCAAAGTGGGGAAAGGGAAACCCTTCCGAATTGGTCAGTTTGAGTAATTTCGACCAACTCTTTCCTATAGGATCCCAGGTTGCCTTTTCCTGGCCCTGGGATGAAGAAATCAGAGGAATATTGCCTCCTGGGTGTGTGGGCCACATGGAGGTTGTGGTGATATTTTGTTTATGATCTAATAAAGCTTGTCTGAAGATCAGAGTGCAAAGCTAGCTCACGTCAGCCATAGAGGCCAAGCAGTGGTGATACACACCTTTAATCCCAGCACTGAAGGAGACAGATCTCTGTTAGTACAAGGCCACCCTGAGCAACAGGAAATTGATCCAGTCTAAAAGAGAAACAGTTGACACAAAGATGATCCCAGCACTTGGAGTGACACACCTTTAATCCTAGCACTAATGAGATAGAGACAGGAGTGATATGGCTGAGTGGAGAGAGGAATATTAGGCGGGAGGAGACAAGAGAGAGATGTAGTCTGAAGAGAAGTGCAGTCTGAGGAGCAGTGCAGTCTGAGGAGGCAGTCTAAGGACAGGATTGCCCATTTGGTCTGAGCATTGGTAGAGGTAAGAACTCTCCAGTGGCTGGCCACTTTGATCCTCTGATCTTCAGCATTAACCCCAATATCTGACTCTGAGATTTTTTATTATTAAGAACAATTATAATTCATGCTACAACTCCATTCCTGGCTGAGCCCTTGCCATTTCTAAGAATTGGCTAACTCCAGGGCAGTATTTTCCCAGAAAGAAACATTTTTAACACATCAAAATATCACAACTATGTAAGCTATATAGTATATGTATAGTCATAGAGACTTGTGCATGGCCAAAATCTTGTAAAACAAATTCTAGATTACTTCATTGGTTTCTGAATCTTCGGGTTCCACAGGACACAGCTTGAAAATTCCCATTGTTCTCACATGATTATGGAGCTCTGACCCCTACACAAAAGTAACAAGTAAGACAACATGATGAATGCATTATATACATTACTCAAATTTTCTGTGAGGTGGGGAAAAATCTAAAAGTTTATGTAAAAGTACAGGTAAACAAACACACAAAAGAAAACTCCAAGGTCTTTAAACATAGACAGTGATGTATAAGGAACACAGGGCCTGCATCATTAATATCCCTCTATGTAGTAGGAGAAAGCATTCTTAGGTTAGTATTAGGCAGAAGTATCAAGGACTATAAACGTGGTACTCCTTTAAACTCTAATTTTTCAAAACTGAAAGCTGCTGAGATTTTACTGCCCTACAATTGGGCATAATTATTTAAAGCACTTTACATACTTAGCAATAATATTCAGATCCCTGTACTAAGCTACAATACTGTATCCTGTCAGTATGCTGAAAGAACATATTCTCCCCCCCACACTACAACACAAGAATGTTAATACTATACAACTTAAATGACAGTACTTTTAAAATACCAGCCTAAGTTATTAGAAAATTATAAAATGTTATATTCACTTGTAAAACTTAACCACATTAGCACCAGATAACCGATCTGAGACTAAGGAAGCACTCACTGCATATATACACTCTGCGATATATACATAATATGTATAACTTACTCAGAAGGATATCTGTTATTAATGGAATCTTCCATCACATTTTTGATGCTTTGCTGTAGCCACAATTTCTGCTGGTCGAGTTCTCTTTCCTTCAATTCTAGATCTTCAATTTCAGCTTTAAGTAATTTTAATCTGTCTATAACTTCTTTAGTATTACAGCCAGCACCTACGCCCCTTAAAACCATGAGAATAAATACAGGATAAGATATCCATTTACTATCATTTAATTTTTATAGTAATAAAACTGACTTATAACATTAATCAAGATGAGTTTACACTCTTCTGATAACCACACATTAAAATGTTTACAAAATTTAAACATTAAAGCTCTAAACACACTTGCTTGGAAAATTTGCTGGCAGGGACCTATAGAGATGGCTCAGCAGTTAAGAGCACTGGCTGCTCTTTTAGAGGACCCAGCACCCACATAGCTTACAATTGTCTGTAACTTCAGTTCCAAGGAATCTGGCATCTTCACACAGACATACATGCAGGCAGAATACCAATATACATAAAAAGTAAGTCTTAAAAAAACAAATTAAAAAACCAAAAACACTTTCAAATAACAACAACAACAAAATTAATAACAAGAAGCATGTTTTGGAAATTCTTGGTATGTGCTAGAATGGCTTTTTATCACCTGGAAGGCCAAGCTAGTACCGAGATGCCAAAACTACATCAAAGCTAAACACTTAAATTTAAAAGTCTCTTGATATACAGTGAGGTGCTGGTAAAGTTAACTGTAAACTTCTAAGAAAAAGCAGCACACAATCATGTCATAGCTAATACATGAAACAGTGGAGAGAGCAAGGAGTCATTCAGCACATAATGGACAGACAGGCAGGATAGGAGAGCCTGTCTGGAGGAAGAGACGTCTGGTGTGATTAGCCAGCTTATATTGAGCATTTGGGAGAAAGAAAGAATTGAACTTCCATTTCTATCTAGTATTGGCTTGGGATAGGGTTTGTGACTTACTTCCACTGGATACTGTTCTTTGATTTTTTTTCAATTAGATCAATTCCTTCTAAGACATTGGTGATATCATAAATTCTTCGCTTTTGCCTCACAGCCAAAGTATCTGCAGCCTGTTTAGGATAAAGAGAACAAAGAAAGCACAGTGTATATTTTAAAGTCAGGGACAGAGTCCAATCCCAAATATGACCTACTCAATATCTTGAAAACATTAGACAGATATATTTGAAGCATCTTCTATACTTTGCAAATACCAGAGAAATTATTCCATCTAAACACTAGCAGATGTTGGTGAGAAGAAAAAAATATGGTCACAATATAAGGGCCCCAAGATAAAACAACACAATAGTAGTTTTTAGTCACCTTATGGACTAAGCTAAGGAGGAAATACTAATTGTTAATCTTTGTCACTTCCTAATTCTCATCAAAAGACAGCTTTATTCTTATGTATCTGGGCCTTTTGGCAATTAAGGAGTAAGGGGAGTCAGTTATATGCATAAATTATAAATCTGTTTAATAATGATCTGCATTTTTAAAGCTTTATTAAATGGATGAATTATTCTACCCCAACAGTATTAAATCAACAAGAAATAAAAATATCTAACATAGTGGTGGTTCTAGCAATGATTTTGAAAAAACATGGTGGTTTGTTTCCTAGTCTAGAAGGTAAGAGTAACACAAATATCAACATGTTATGAACCGGATAAACATGAAGAACACCACATAGATCATCTCTCTACTTGGAAAGAACTTCAGAAAAGAGGTTACCTAATAGCTGTTTTCTGAGCCAATAGCCTGTATCATGAATGTAGGGTCCCACTACACAATTCATGGTACTAACGAAAAAGTAGTTAAGTGGCCCTCCTGACAATTTCCAGCACATTGTTTAAATTAACAAATATGATTTAGCAGCCTAAGACATGGTTACCAGCTATTGTGGGTCAACACTTCTTGCTTAACTCACCCACCTGTCTTCACTAGGCTTTCTACTGTTGTGATAAGACACCATCACCAAAAGCAACGGGGAGGAAAGGGTTTATTATATACTATTATGTCCCAATCACAGTTAATTATTGAGGGATGTCATGGTATGAACTGAAGCAGAGACCATGGAGGATTGCTGCTTATGAGGTATTACTCACAGCTTCAGCCTGCTTTCTTATACAACCCAGGACCACCCAGCCTAAGAGTGGCACCACCCACAATGGTCTGGACCTCCTACATCAATCATTATTCCAGAAAATGCTCTACAGATTTGCTTACAGTCAAGTCTGATAGAGGAACTTTCTTCACTGAGGTTCTCTCTTCGCAGGTGGTATCTCTTCTTGTGAAAATTGACAAAAATACCCACCAAGATGCCTCACATCCCAGTCTTTCTGAATGGAACTTGTGCCTCCAACAATAGACCAGGAGAACAGGATGTGCATCGATGGGAGCAATATGCTTTTTAGTATCCTCAGCTCTGAACTGGAATTGTCTAGACTCTAAGACTCCAATATCTACAATCTAGTCTCCAGAAATTACTAGACTAGAGAATCAAAAGCTAAACAGAACTGGGACTAGCCATGGTCTAGCAGTAATCGGTAGCATCTTTACCATCTAACTTTCCTTCAAGGATTTGTTCTTGGGTTTGAGTTTATTCTGAAGAGCAGCAGTCTATTGCAAAGTAGCCATTAAAAAAAAAAATCCAAATTAAGAATGTTCTTGCTTCTCTCTGAAAAGGGTCTCATCAAGGAACCTGGAGTCCTGCCAGCAATGGTTCTGTGTTTTCAGTATGGTTCTGTGTTTTCAGTAACTATGTAGACATACATACACCACATCACTCATAGCCATAGCAACAGCTTCTGGTATCTGGTGTTTCGCTCTACACATAGGATCCAGACCACAAAAGCTGTTTTTTGTTTTTTTTTTTTTTTAATTTTTGAGATTTTAATTATATTTCTTCCTTTCTTGTCTCTTTTCTTCCCTCCAAACCCTCCCATATACCCGTCCCACTTGTCTTCAAATTCATGACCTCTTTATTCACTTATTGAATGCATATATGCATATAAAGAAATATATACTAATATTATATATATATATATTTATATATATATATATATATTTCTAAATATAACCTGTTCAGAGGTGACCACTTGGTACTGGACAAACAATTGGTGTGCTCACTCACCCTAGGGAGGACCGCCTCTCCTGCTCCCAACTTTCTTCAGTTGTCTATAGTTCTTTGTGTAGGGCTGAGGCCTTGTGGGCTTTTCCCTGTCCACTCTGGCATATCTTTTGGTGCCCTTCTTGTTCAGCACATATTTGAGCATTCATGGAGGGGTGTGGTTTCTGATATCACTAGGAGAGACAGAAGACCTGGGTCATTCATTGTGAAGGTTTCAGATTTTAATTCCAGTGACCTGGAAAGTTACTAGGCAGCTTTGAGCACAAAGGTGATTTGACTTCATGTTTGAAAATGTCCTGTTTGCTATAAGGAGAATCTTGTTGAGAAGAAAACAGAAGAAAGGAGATCAATGAGAAAGGAATGGCAATTATCCTTTAAAAGGAGGAATACAGATGGAGTAAACTGAGGAGGTGATGACCAGTGGTGAGAAAGAATCTGGGTATAATCTGAAGGCTTTGCAAGCAACAGTTCCCAGGAGAGAGCAGCCAAGGATCACTCGGGGTTTTTGTTTGTTTCTTAATATTATTATTTATTGGAGGGTGGGGTGTGTGTGCCACAGTTCATGCATGTAGGCAAGGACAATTTTGTAATGTTGGTGTTCTTCCACAGGTCTGACAACAAGTGCCTTTATATACTAAGTCATCTCCTTGGCTCAACCAGAGAGTTTTTGACTTGAACTTCATGCAGGTGAGGAACACCACTGTAGGATTATGTTTGAAGCAATGGAAGTCAGGAACGTAACCCTGGAGACTGTGACAGCCAAAGGATCACTAGACATGAAAATGTAGGCCACAAGACGACAACAAAACTATAAGGGAGGCACAAGCTAGACATCAATTTGATTGTCCTCAGGAGGCAGACATCTCAGGAACAGTTGGAATGCACAAGATCCACCTAGCAAGGGAACAAAGGGCGTGAGAAATAAAGAGCAACCTGACACTAACACATCAGGGCGTGAATGAGGGAATCAAGTTATCCAAAGGAAAAGAGTGTAAGGAAGAGGCTGAACTTGCATGCACCGCAGTGAGGCAAGTTTCCGAGATCACCGGTTATCTTGGATAGAACTAATTTTGGCAGAAGAGGGATCTCATGGAGGAACAGAAGGAAAGCTATCATAGGCAACATCTCTGAAGTGTCATGCTGTAATGAGGAACCATGATAGTAGGCAGTATCTGTAGGAGTATGAGTTTTTTTTTTTTCTTTCTCTTTCCCTTTTTTCTTTCAAAAGTAAGTGTTATTTTAACCTGTAAGTATGCTGATAGGAATGATCTGGCAAACATAGAGAGGTAGTTAACAACACAGAAGGAAGAAAGTACAGTCATTTAGGAGACTATTATGAACGAGAGGGAAGGCATATTAGGAACTTAAGTTCAGCACTGGGCTGAGTGCAAATAGTTTCATCAGTAAACAAAACAGAGCAGATGTTTCCTTCCTGATCTGATTTTCTCATCAGTTTTGGGGTAGGAGAAGAGAAAGTGAAATACTGACATAAAATAGTGGATAATACAGGAGTGTAAACAGTACTACTGCCTCTCAAAGTTTGTGGTCATGTGTTGTAGGCCTTACCTTCCCACAGTTACGAATTTAAAGGAGACTCAATATATTAGATATTTTTCTGATGCTGTGATAAAACACCATGACCAAAGCAACTTAAGGAAGAGTTTATTTTGGCTTATGGCTACAAAGTGCTAAGAGTCCATCATGGCAGGGATGTTTGGCAGCAGACAGGCACATTCTCTAGAGCACAAAGCTCAGGGCTCACATCTTGAAATACAGCACAAAATAGCAGAGGCCTTTTACTCTCATACTTCCTGTTGTTATTTTGCTTAAATTACAAGTCGAGAGATGGAGATGGAATGTGAACCAGAGAGAGCACATTAAACAAAGTTTATTATGGGGCAGGAGAACAAGAGGGGAAGAGAGAGAAATGGAAGAACAGAGCAGGGCAGAGAGTAAGAGAGAATAATTTGTGGTCAACCACTGGAAACAGAAGAGAGACAGAGAGAACGGAGAGAGGTACAGAACTTTTAAGGGAAAGCCAATCATGCACACTGAGGCTTCACACATGCGCTGAGGCTTTGTGAATGCTCAAGAGTCCTTTTGCGTGCCCCACCCGTTGTCAGGGGCAGGGTCTGTCTCTTAAAGAGGTACAAGCAGGTCAGCATTAATGTCTGAACCTTTCACTTCCCATAGTAATGTACTTCCTCCAGCAAGACCACTCCCCCTAAACTTTCCAAACAGTACCACCAACTAGGGCTCAAGTGTTAAAATATTTGAGTCTATGGGGGCATTCTCACTCAAACAACTACATGCAACATCACTGCATTTTTCTACAGCCCTGGAACTGCTCAGATATACCAAGAAGGTAGGCCTGGATCAGAATCACCACCCTCATTCCAAGCTTTCAACTGTGGCTGGGAGATGGGGTATCAAGTTTATTTTTAAAAGATTGCAGTTTTCTATTGTGGGACTTGATAGCCAAAACAAAAACAAAAAAACCCAAAATTATAAAGAAAGCCATTAAAGTTGCATCTATTACATAACCAGTTTATGATAAAAATAAGCAAAATTATCTTTCCCTCTAAGTATTACATGTTTTCTCTCACAAACGGGAGGCAAACACTGTCTACAGACAGAACAATATTCAGGCTTGGCAACCTGTTACTAAGTGAGCAAGCCAATTGAACTATGAACTAGGACCAATGAGGCAGGATCTAAATGCCACAATGTTGCATTCGAAAGACAGACTTCCTATCCTTCAAAGCAAGTTCTTTATTCTCTTCAAGGTCACAACAGTTAACATGTAAGCATTCAATACTCTGGTCACTGGGATTTAGAGATTTACGTTAAATAGGAGTCGGGATCCAAAAATCAAAGTAGTGTTAACAGCAACACTACATAAAACCAAAGAAATTCCACCAAGGTCAAGGGTGGCTGAAGTAATGGCTCCAGTTAAAGAGTGCTGGTGGACCTGAGTTCAATATCCACCACCCATGTGGAGCAACTCAGAATGCCCTCTTCTAATCTCTACAAGCATCTGAATAAACAGGGCAGACACCCACACACACACACACACAGACACATAAAGAAAGGAAGAATAAATCTCAAAAGTATTAAGGGGGGAAGGATTTCAAGTGATGCACTAAGATGATCCAAAAACATTTTAATGAGAATAAAAAACACTTCAGATGTGGCACGTGGTGTGGTGGTTTGAAAGAAAATGGCCCGCAAGGGAATGGCACTATTAGGAGTTGTGGCCTTGTGGATTAGGTGTGGTCTTGTTGGAGGAAGCGAGTCACTGTGTAGGCAGGCTTTGAGGTCTCATACTGCCCAGTGTCTTATACTACTTACTGTTGTCTGTACAGGATGTAAAACTCTCGGCTACCTCTCCAGCAGCACCATGTCTGCCTCTATGCTGCCATGTCCCATCATGATAATGGACCACCTCAATTAAATGTTTTCCTTTGTAAGAGTTGCCGTGGTCATGGTGTCACTTTACAACAATAGAAACCTTAAGACACATGACATTTTATGCTGATCCATTTTCTTATTACCTAATTTCAAGCACAGCTCATTTTAATTAACATGTAAAATGCTTGATTTTAACCTAAAGCAATAGGCTGACTGAGGACTTTACAGATGTTACCTAATGCAAAGCTCATAATAATTCTGCAAAGCAGGTGTTCTCATTTTATAGAGAAGCCCAGAAAGCTAAAGAATATGGTCAGCATTTGACATTAGTCCTATAGTCATGCAACAAAACTATCAAAATATTTTATACAACTTAAAAGACTTTCCATTAATTTGGGCATATGAATTTAGTGTATTACTGAACAGGGAATTCAAGTAAAGCTTTACTATAGGTTCCATTGAAGGGATCAGACCCTCACCCAGCCTCCAGCTTTAGCAGCCATGACAGGCTGAGGAAAAGACCTAGCAAGACAAAGGCCCCTGACTCTGCACATGTGCTGACCTTGCAGGAGCTGCCCTAGTCACTAAGTCAGATACACTCCATGTAGCAAGGAACCAACCAATCAGAAGTTAGCTGGCCGGCCCTTGGAGTGCTTTATGGTAAAAGTGGAGTATCAGAGCCGTGCAGAGCATAACAAACACCTATAGGCCATAACAACCAATTAACCAATCAACACAGGACAGATCACCCAAGCCCAGAAGCCCACCAATCCTGAGACTGTTGCGTACCTATAGACACCCCCCTTGCTCTACAAAATAAATTCCCCACCTCGATGTTTCTTGGGATCCTTCTCTTGTCAGCCTCCATGATAGGGCCTGAGTTAACGGGGTTAACTCGTTAAACAATAAAAGACTCTTTGCTTTTGCATTGGAATGGGTCTCTTAGTGATTTTGGGGTTCAGAGTTTGGGCACAACACCATAACAAGTAGATAAAAATGGCAGAGAAGAAATTTTAATTTCCATGTATTTGCTTACTGAAAAATAAAAAAAAACTCACACATATTTAAGTCTATGCCTGTGTAGATAAAATCCCATAAAATGTTGTTAAAACATCAACCTATAGGGGCTGTTAAAAGCAACGTTGCTTTTTCAGAGGATCTGGGTTTGGTTCCTAGCCCCCACATGGAGGCTCATAAGCATGGGTAACTCCAGTTCTAAGGGATCCAACCACTTCTTTTTTGAATTATACTGGCACTGCATGCAGTTGGTACACATAGATAGAGGTGAGGCAAAACAACAGTACAAATAAAGTAAATAAGTCTTAGAAAACAAGAGTAATTGGGAAACTGACAACACTTGCCAAACATGCAAATCCTTAGGTTAAATTCCTAGCACACAAAAAAGGGAGAGGGTCATTTGCCCTAGAGATGTTAAAATGCTATAAACCTGTGAAGAAACTAGAGTACTTAAGGTGAGGACAAAAAAGAAAATTCCTGGGAGAGGCCTCTCTGTTTTCAATGGGTCTGTAGGGGCCATAAATCAACAAGGAAATGAAATACCAAAGAATTGCTGACTCTAAGAGCAGAGGGCCCCCTCCTGAAGCAGCACCATTTATTTGCACAGCTCTGCCCCAAAGAAACTGAACCTAAACATACTGTGTTTAGCTACTGGCTGCTACTGTACTTATGTATTTTGAAATATATAAGTCTTGAACATTTTTCTCATGCTATTTTTAATAAACTCTGTATGAGCTTTTAAAAAGAAAAGTTCATTTCTATTTTTCTTACACAAGTCACCAAAGAATAATCAAAAAAGAAAAAAGGTATTTGATAGTGTCTATGTAACTAGGAAAATCATAGTGATCCTCTGAAATCTATAAATTGAAATCTAGAGATTGTTGCCTGCATCCATCAATTGTATAGTTTGAAAGTCCTTTTATATAATTATTGTTCTGGCTGGCATACTAAGGTTTCACTGTGACATCTGCCATATTTAATCTGTTCTTATTTGGCACCCCTGTCCCACGCCTGTCTTCACATCCCATCTCTCCTCTCTTGCTGTGTTCTCACACTGTCTTTATGTGTGGACTGCCCTGTTGCTTCTTCTATGTATCCAAATTTGCTGTTACAGGCAAACTGATGAGATTTAATTAGGGCACATCCTGATAGTGTCATTTAACTCAGGCTTCTTTTTAAGAAACTACCTCCAAATGTAGTTCTCTATTAATGAGCGGGATGGTGGGGCACTAAGGGTTTTGAAATGGGGGAACACAATTCAGTCTATAACCCCATTATCCAAATTTTGTTCTATATTGTCATACCTCTGGCAGACATTCTCCTGCTTTGTTTCTAAGAATCTGAATACTCTTAAATACTTCAATTGAAAATCATATAACAAACAGGGTCTTGAGAGATGGACCAACAGTTGTTAAGAGTATTGACTGCTCTCCAGAGGACCTAGATTCATTTCCCATGACCTACATGATGGCTCTCAACCATTGGTAACACCAATTCCAGGGGATCTGATGCTCTCTTCTGGCCTGTGCAGGCTCCAGGCAGACATGCAGAACAGACATAATTGCAGGCAAAACACGCATATACATAAAATAAAAATTTAAAAAAAGGAATCATACAGCATTTTTCTGATTACTCAATATAGTCTCAAGGATCATCTCAACTGTATATGTCAGAATGTCTTTATAAAGCAGAATAGCCCCCTCATTGAGCCTTGGTACCCCAATTGATTGCCCAATGAAAGACATCTGAGTTGCCCATCTTTTGACTATTTGAGTTAATGCTGACATGAACATAGATCCTACAAATACCTCCTGCTCCAGACCCCACTTTCAGTTCTGCAGGAGTAGTGCTGTCCTGAGAATCCTAAAGCAAGCACCAAAGTCTTGCCATATTCCACATATACCTCCCTATGCCAACCATGTCAATAAACTTGTTACCTACTATAAAGCCTGAGGTTGAAGTATGTCTCTTGTAGGGTGTATTGGTTAGGTCATTTGTTATGTATGTGTCTGGATCTGGGAGAGAAACACACCAATACTTAGGTGTCATTCACGTAATTGTAACTTAAGTAATCATAATGTGTAACATATGAAATCCAGATTATGCTTGCAAAGCTCAAGATGGCACCAAAATGGCGAATACAATATAGTCTTCCATCTGTAAAGTATACTGACCAGGAATTTTCAGCATACATATCCACACTCTTTTAACAATTCACAGTTATTAAGCTACAGAAAACAAAACACTTGTTCAATCAACTTCTACAGAATCTGCCATCAGTGCCTTTCTTTTCAGATAGATGCCCATTGCCTACCATGTAACTTTTACGCCAAAGGAGGAAAATCACCCATTTTTCTTTACAAAAAGAAATCCATGATGCACAGAGACACATGAAAACAAGTTTATTTTTAAAGACTACTAAAAAGGCAGTACAGCACAGAAAAGTCTAGCTTCTAATGTCCTATCTCACTTGGCAGACCTAACCCACAAGTTTAGTGTATCAGGCTCACATTAGGCTGGAAATATTAGGCTTACCATCTACATAGTCCTGAATATTTTATGGCCACTCAGGATATTTGGTAAAAAAGTGAATATATTTTTATATTTGTGATTTTCACAAAAATTGGATTCCTTTATTAATTAAAAAAAAGTATGTGCAAAACCTGTATCAATAGCTTATACAGAAAAATGTTCCTTCCTCAGAATAAAAAAATAAAGAACATGTTTTAAAATTCTCAAATAGAAATTTATTACTATCAGTATGAGACCTTCAACATGTATTATTAGAATATCTTAATATTTCATAATGATGTACTATGAGAAACATCACTAGGAATGCCTCACTGTAAGTTGTTTTATATATAAGATTTTATATGTATTTCTATACATGAAATGTATGTATAAAATAAAATGTTTTTCTATCTAGGAAACAGAATACATTGATCTCTGTAAGTGATTAGCCCTTATTACTACAGAAATCTACGAACCTTTCTTTAGAATAGCTCCAAGATAACCAAAATAAGACTCTTGAATATCAAACTTCTGCTATTCGATGCCTGAGCTTGCTGCAGTACAGGTGAAGGAAGCCAGATAACAAAGTCTGGAAAGGCAGACAGAGTTCATGTTGGAGTTTTCAGCATGTTTCAGGATGAAACATCAAACTGCAGTTTTACCCGGAAAGCCCCGGAATTCTCCTTTTTTCTTTTTTTCTTTTTTTTTAAATACTAACATTCACTAGCTACAGCTGAATTTAATTCTGAACAGCAGGTTTCAATGGATGATGGGTGTTTTGTAACATCAGGGGTTTCTCTGCTGAACTCATTACTGCCAGTGAAATTGAAAACCATACCATTTGAATGCATTACAATTGGAATACTGTACATGCCCATTAAAGTACTTTTAAGGAGGGAAAACGGTTGAGGGGAGAGAAAAGAGGGAGGGGGAAGAATATGAGAGAGAACACAAAGAATTTTGAAAAGTGGCACACACAAAAAAAAACTTCTAAGGAATAACATGTCCAAAAAAGAACAGACACCCACTGGCATCTACACTCAGGAAAAGAGGGGGGTAATCCCAGTGCCAACAAGCCATTGCCTCCCACTGGGCCACCAAGGGGAGGACACTCAGCAGGAGAGTTCTGGAAGACAGGCTTCTCCAATTCAGACACTATTACCATTGCCTGGGACACAGAAATGAGGATGGTAATGGCTTCAAGCCAGGAAGGTGGCATGGTACTTAGTCCCTGGGTGCTGCGAGTTTTCCCAGTACAGCAAGGCAAAGGAGTCAACTGAGGCGATCCGCTGTGATTGTAGACTCTTAAGCAATTTTGCTTGTTTTTGAAAGTTATTATTGGCTCTTCCTCAACCCCAGTGTATTGGCCGAATTTTTATTCACATGATCACATACCCCTTTTTCCCTTCTGCGCCGAAGAATCCTTCCAAGTCCTGCCAGGAACGGTTAAATCACTGTATAACTTAACAGCTTTAGACAACCGTTTGAAAAAAAGCTGAACCGTAGCAAAGAAAGAAACAAACATTCTTT